CAGCCATCCAGAGGAACTGGTTGGCCACTGTGTGAGACAAGATGCTGCACTAGATGGACCATTGGTCTGATCCAGCAGGGCTCTTCTTATGTTCTTATCAGGGAAGGCCTCGGCCTCTATGTGCTGTTGTTGGCTCTCCAGAGGAACTGGTTGGCCACTGTGTGAGATAGGATGCTGGGCTAGATAGACTATTGGTCTGATCCAGCAGGGCTCTTCTTATGTTCTTATCAGGGGAAGGCCTTGGCCTCTATGCGCTGTTGTTGGCCCTCCAGGGGAACTGATTGGCCACTGTGTGAGATGGGAAGCTGGACTAGATGGACAATTGGTCTGATCCAGCAGGGCTCTTCTTACGTTTTTATCAAGGAAGGCCTTGGCCTCTATGCCCTGTTGATGACCCTCCAGAGGAACTGGTTGGCCACTGTGTGAGACAGGATGCTGGGCTAGATGGACCATTGGTCTGATCCAGCAGGGCTCTTATTATGTTCTTATGACTGCCAGTCTTTTGTACTGTCTTTTCAGGTGGTAAGGTAATTCATATCACACTTCTGCACCTGAACAGAAAACTAGGGAAATAGAAGAATGAAGATTCTTCTCAGCAGTTTGCAGGGTGATCCAGAATTGTCAGTAAAGACTCTCTATTATTGTAGTTGCTCTAGGGTGAAAATTAAATTCAGGAAATTTGAAGGTAATTCTGAATTCTGTTCACTCCTGCCAGAAAATAAGGTTACCTGGATATAATGACACTGCCTACCTACATCCCTAATAAAAATAGTTCTTACAGTGTGTCCAAGGAGTGGAGATGTCATATTATCTGGGCCCTGCCACCTAAATGCAGAGTGCCAAGCAGTTGTTTAAATGTGGTGATTCATTGGAGAATTAAAGTTGTTCAGATGCATGCACTCCAATTAAAACTGCTTCAATTCAGAATGCAAAATGAGGCTTAGTTATATTTAACAGAGTGGCAGAGGGAGGAAAATGAACATGATGAGTAAACCCTGGTTGAATGGAAGACTCCTTTGTAAAAAAAGGAAACAAAATCCAGTTGTGTGTAGAGATGTGAAGGCCTGGGGGAAAAACTGGAAGAATTTGGGAACACGTGGAACACTGAAAAACTCTGAATTTCCCCCCCCTTTTGGAATGAGTGACATGCTAAAACAGCATGGGGTATAGCAGTTTGCAATTCTCTTTAGTATTAGGTATGTTTACAGTTTTACTTTCAGAAAACTGAATTTGTCTCTACTTTGAAATTGCTGTAAATTACTATAAATATGCCCATTAATATGCTAAAGAAAGTTCTGTAAGATGCCTTTTATGTTGTCAGCAAAATAAGGCTTAGGTTTGACAAGAAAATAAAATGGAAAAGTTGCATGTATTTCAGTGTTTCCTGAAAAAACATGGCCTCCATTTCTGGAAAATTTAAATCGTTAGTTCCAGGCATCTGAGAACACTGCAAGACCAAGCGGTAGAGATGTCAGACCAAGGAGAGGCCCAAGGCAGAGAACATATGGATGAAGGCAAACAAGGCATGATTGAGGGGAGTTGTGGTGTCTTGAGAGCCAGTGTGGTGTATTGGTTAAGAGTGGCGGACTCTGATTTGGAGAACCAGGCTTGATTCCCCACTCCTCCACATGAAGCCAGCTGGGCGACCTTGGGCCAGTCACAGTTCTCTCACAACTCTCTCAGCCCCACCTACCTCACAAGGTGCCTGTTGTGGGGAGAGGAAGGAAAGGTGATTGTAAGCCGCTCTGAGACTCCTTAGAGTACATACTCTTGTTCTTCTTGAGAAGAGGTATGTTGGTAAGCAGCTGAGCCTGCCTGCGTCCCCGAAGTTTCTCTCCCTCCTCCTCCTCCAGCTCTTTATTCTGAGCCAGCGAATAACTTAATCCGTTTCTTTCATTAGGATTGGAAGCTACTTTTTAAGCCTTTGTACTGAAACTTCGGGATACAGGTATTATGCATACTACCTTGGTGTGGTATAGGGGTTAGAGCGCTGGACTAGGCTGGGGGAACACCCAGCTCCAAATCCCCACTCACTACAAAACCTTCTGACTGATGTTGGACCAGTTACATTCTCCCTCAGCCTACCTCAAAGGATTGTTGTGAAAACAAAATGGAGATAGCCACGTATGCAGTGAGATACATGTGACCCCAGATGAGATGCATTCTGTCTGCCCCCCCCCCCCGGGGTGGAAGATGAAACTTGCCAAATGGTATGGTTCTGAATTAATAACTTTACAAAAAGACAACCCCCAGACTTCTCAAAAAGTTTAGTTGGGGTGAGGTAAGGAGCCAGACAATAATGGAAAATAGGGATCACCGTAGAGCTAGCAGAAGAGCCCGTTTAAGTTGAAGGAAGGCTCCTTAGCCTGGTAAAAGGCTTCCCAGTTTGCTGAGCAGAGCAGTAGGATGCTGGTGGAGTTGTCAACTGTCGGGGGGGGGGGGGGGGGGGGAGTGTCCTGTCCCTTTAACTGAAGCTTAAGGAGATGTTGTTTACCTCCATGCCATGAAGAGCTCAGCTATCCATTTTTACATATCAAATCTCTATTAATGGGACGAAACATTTTTCACCGGTCAGTTGGCAACCCGCTGTACAGGCCACATGTCCATGTAAGAGGACTGTGCCATTTGTTAGGGAGACTTGAGGCTCGACTCATCCAGCAGTCCAACTACACCCTGGTGTTGTGCATGCAATATTTTTATTCAGAAGTTTTAGTACAAAATGAGGATTTTTTTTTTGCGGCTTGTTGTTTTTATATTGATAACTTAATTATTTTAATTATAAAATGCCTTCAGCAAGACTCTGAGGAGGCAGCGTATAAATCCCCTCGTTAAAGAAATACAAATGCTCCCAAAGTTGCTTCCAGTCATAATTAATTTTATTTTTAGGGGCTGTATTTATGCTGATGTTTGATTGCCTGTTTTCTGGTTTTGAGATAAAGTTTTAATATATTTGATTTTTTTTTGTTCTTATACACCTTTGCGACTTGTTAGCTGCATTAAATCTCAGGAAAAATGTGGGGTATAAACATGTCAAAATTTTTAAAGAATTATATAACGATAACCTGCAATTCTTTCTTTGCTTTCCTTGACATTTGGTTGTCCTGTCCTAATCACTTATGAACGATAGAGCTTATTTTACTTTGAATTTTCATGAGAGATTATTGTTTATTGCATGTAATTTGTGGATTTTGCTTTATACCATGCACAGTATAATATTTCCCCCCTTTTTCTTTTCAGTATACAGAGGCCAAAAAGCAATGCTGGTACTTCGAAGGAGTGTATCCCATATATTATTTGTAAGTGATCTTTTCCCTAATGGGTTTATGTATATTTGCCTGTCGTGTGACTGATTCAGATTCTTATCCATTCTGCTAACTGTTAACCAGTAACTGCTGAAATGGCTGACTTTTGTTTTATGGAGTCTATAAGGGGAGCCTGTGCCCTGACCGGAATGGCTCAGGAGAGTCAGCCCTGGTTAGTCCTTGGATAGGAGACCGCCAAGGAAGTCCAGAGTTGCTACACAGAGGCTGCGGTCACACGGAGCATTAGCCACGCTACAGAGACGGAAGATAGGCGGATTTTCCAGGCGCGATCACAGCGCCACATCTGGGAAGCGTAGAGCTCCCGTGGCGAACCCGAGGCTTCCCGCCGAAGATTTAAGGTAGTACCTCCGAGGTACTAGTTTCCGGAGGGCGCCTGATCGCATTTCCGGTGGTAGGTCATGGCATTCGGCGCCCGCCCATGTCCCATCGCTAAAAGGTTTTTTCCCCCCCAAGTCTCCACGGGATGCACACAAGCACCCAACGGGGCATGCGCACACGCACACTTTGTTTAAAAACAAACAACACAGCTCCCTCCTCTTTTCCGTACCCCCCCCCCACTCCTGGCTCCACCTGCTTGAGAGGAACTCTCTGCACCAGGCAGCAGAGGGGGAGGTGCAGGGGGGGGCGTGGCGGGAGGGCTGCCCGGCTGAAGCTCCTCCTGGAGGGGACCGGATGGAGGACATCGTTTGCATTCCTCTGCAGCCCTGGAAGGGGTTAAACCCGCAGAGCCTTTTGCTAGAGAGGCCGCTTCCTTGCTGCGCCACAGGATTGTCCTGTGATCAGCACCTCCCCCCTAACCACGGGACCTCGACGGGACATCTGATCGCGCAGCTGTGCGTTATTTTGCTCCGGGGCAAACAGCCACGCTCCCCCCCCCCGCATTTTCCTGCCCGTGTGACCAGGCAATGGCAAAGCACCTCTGAACGTCTCTTGCCTTCAAAACTCTATGGGGTTGCCATGAGTCATCTGCAACTTGATGGCACTTTCCACCACCAAGGGGAAGTCCAAGGAAGGTGCGGAAAAACTTCTGAGAAGTGATTTCCAAATCAGAAATCCCCCCCCCCCGCCCAATACTCCAAATAGCAAATGAATGTATGTTGGCCCATAAGAAATTTTAAAGCCACTCTCTCTTGTCTGCCTGTGGAAGCCGCTCACCAATGGGCTTCCTTCCAGTGCGGAGTCCAACTCAAAGAAGTCAAAGCACTAAATATTTATGGGCGTGAATTTGCTCTTGCTTTCCTTTTGTCAATCTGCTACAGATCTTTGGGGCTCTTGCTGCTTAAAGCCTCCCCTCCCCCTTAGTACTGGAGTATCTGCTTCCCTTGTGTAAGGAATGGAATGTTCCTATGTTGCCCTGTCATGACCCTATGCCCACCCTACAAAAGAACAGGGTGTGGGGGGAAGATCACCTCAGCTGCTATGATGGATCACTGTCACTTTCCCCACTCTGAGGCAGATTTTCCCCGACAAAATTATTTTTTGTTCCCTGCTGTGACTGAGTAGTCCCTAGTAGTGTGTAAATGAATGTGGTTTATAAAAGATTTTCTGTCCCGCCCTGTCTACAGAATATAATTCGGCTTTTAGCTGAACCCAAGGAACTTTCTGTGGAGAAGTAGGTGCCCTCTTCTTATTTTCCCTTTTTAAATGGCACTGGAGACGGATTAACAGTAAAACAAAAGAACAAGTTTATTCAACAGGCAGGGATGGGGATTGCTGAGGCACAAGTTGTAGATGGTACAGTGTTTGCTTCTTTAAACAAGCAAAATGATGTTGTTAAAGCTTATTTTCAGGCATTCTTAGATCCAGGGACGGCCCCAGCTTATTTTGCACCCTAGGCGAGGATCCCTTCTGGCGCCCCCCCCCCCGTGCGCCCACCAATTTTCAAAAGTAAATGCATTTTAGGAAGAATGAAACACACAAATAATCAAGAAACTTCCAGAGTACGGGGCCGGGTTCAGTTTGGCGCCCCTAAGGGCCGTCCCGCTCTAGGCGATCGCCTAGTTCGCCTAGTGAGTGAGCTGGCCCTGCTTAGATCTTAGCAGCAAGACGAGTTTTACTTAGCATATTAGTTACAGCAACCATGTTTCCTCAGAGAGTTTCCTATGGCAGTTCAGATTTCCTGGAGTTGGTCACTGTCTTTGTGAACCTAACTCACTCCTTTGTTAAATTACAGTTTATTTCTGTTTCCTGAGATGTCTAAAACCGTTTCCCCTTTACAACAGACCAGGGTCCTCCTCAGAGCTAAACCCTCTTTGACACTGGGCAGGAATTAATATTCTTCTCCTCAGAAGAATTAACCCTGTTCCCCTTTTTGTTTTTTGGCTTGAAAGGGGGTTTCCACATACTACCCCAGTTACTCTTGCCAAAACTCTCTCCCAGTTCTGGTGTCCGTGTAAAACATACTTTAACTTATGCTGACACTGAGACTTTGAATTCTTGTATTGAATTCCTCCTCAGGATAGAGATATAACACAGTTAAGGCAAGGAGCCTTTTTCTTTCACTCAGCAGGTGAATCTGTCTGACTTTTCCGATCAGGCACACTGACTCCAAACGGTCAGAAACCAACTTGACTGCCTTCAGAATGGTTCTACCTGACAGACCCACTTCAAACTGAACTAAACTCAAACTGACTCTCCCCTCAGCACTCAGCTGATTATATATTTTCCTCTGCTGGTGCTGGCCAATCAAAGAAGAGGAGCAGCCTGTCACTCAAGCTCTCCCTTCCAGGGAAAAGTTCACTCTTTACCTCCCAGCTGTCTTGATTTAGCTGGACTCTGAAACCTGCTTTTAAAGTGCAGTCCACATCACAGCTACATAGAAAGCAACGTTTGTTAAGCTACAACCTGTTTCTCTCTCTCAGTAGACAGAAGAGCAGCATTAGATCGATGGTGTGGGTGGGCTATCCTTTGGCAAATCCTTTGCCCCATCTCATAACTGTGTGCTGTCAAGTCGCAACTGACTAGCGACAGCTGCAGGGCCACAGGATATTCAAGGCAAGAGACAAGCAGAAGCGGTTTGCCATCTTCCTTGGTGGTCTCTGGTCTAAGGACTAAGCATGGCTTGTTCCTGCTTAGCTCTGACAAGATCGGGCTAGTCTGGGTGGCAGGATGCGTGCCGCGGGGGACGGCTGTGTGCGCTGCACCCGCCGTCGCCAGGATGTCACGCTCCGCGTTACTCTGGCAACGGGGCTGTTTGGGGTCCCGTTGCCAGAGTAACACGGAGCGTCACATCCTGGCGACGGCGGGTGCAGCGCACACAGCCGTCCCCCGCGGCACGCATCCTGCCAGGAAATAGATTTCCCCCGCCGACGTTTGGTAAGCCTATGGGTATATGTTCTACAGCTTTATATTATAAAGAAGAGGAATCCTTCTTTTTGAGATACTGTGGAGCTCTGCTTGTGCTTTTGGACCAGGTGTCTTTGTAGTTCAGTGCTGTGTTTCCAAGCAGCAGCCACCAGAGATAAGAAAGATAGCTATTCTCTGTAGTTTGCCCATAAAATGATCTTTGTTTTAAATCCATTGTAAGATTAGATGTATAGTCCTTCTTGTTGAGAATACATATGTGAGGACTGAATGGGTTAGCATATGTAATGAGATAAGAAACCAATATCCCTATTGAGTCCTGGGGAGGTTTTTGTTCCAGGTGTTGTAATTTAGCAGTCTCCCTTTCCAGTCTGTTCCTGAAGTTCCTTTGTAATAAAACAGCTACTTTGAGGTCATTCATTGAATGTCCTGGAAGGTTAAAGTGTTCTTCTACAGGTTTCACAGTCTTGTGATTCCTGATGTCAGATTTGTGTCCATTTATCCTCTGGCGTAGGGTTTGCTGGCACTTAAAGGCATATACAATGTTAGAAGATGAGCAAGCGAATGAGCCTCTGATGGTGTAGTTGATGTTGTTAGGTCTGGTGATCTTGTTGTCTGGGTGTATGTGGCAGCAAAGTTGGCATCTGGGTTTATTGCAAGCTCTGGTCCCAGTGTCCATGTTCAAATGAGATGTTGCATTATTGTGGCTGTCAGACTAGGATCTGGGAGACCCAGGTTTGAGTCCCACCTCTGAGATGGAAGCTTTGCAGGTCCACGCACTCTCAGCCGAATCGAAGTTGTAGGGTTCTATGAGGACAAAATGGAGGGGAGGAGAATGATGTCAGCCGCTGTGGGGTCCCCACTGAGGAGAAAGGTGGGGTACAAATGAAGTAAGTAAATACGTTTGCATAGTTAGTTGTAATTCATTGCACTGGCAGCCCAGTTACATGACAGATCGTGTACGGGCACACCCGGATCCTGGCAGCCAAACACACACCCCGGAGTTCCGTGCTGAAATGTAATCCCCAGACATGTGAGGCCCCAGTACAAGCTGGGACTGGGGTATGTGGGGAGCAGGGGCTTTAGCCTCTCCCATTGTATGCAATGTTTCCAGCAGCCCTAGTGATCTGCAATTTACCATACTGGTGAAACCTGTATGTACTGATGGGCCCTATTGCCACACTGGGCCATCAAGGTCAGTATTGTATACTGTAGCTGGCACAGCCCTCCGGGATCTCAGGTGAAGGTCTTTCACATCACCTGCTACCTGATCCTTTTAACTGGAGTTGCAAAGGGATTTATTCTGGGGCCTTCTGCGCATGTCGAGCAGAAGCTCTTCCACTCTCCCCTGTGTATGAACCACTGACCTCAGTCAACTACCAGCTCTTCTGCTTCACAAGAACCCAGAGCCAGTTTGGTGTAGTGGTTAGGAGCGAGGACTCTAATCTGGGAGAACTGGGTTTGATTCCCCACGCCTCCAGATGCAGCTGCTGAGTGACCTCGGGCAAGCAACAGCTCTCTTAGAGCTGTTCTCTCAAGAGCAGTTCTCAAAGAGCTCTCTCAGCCCCACCTACTTCACAGGGTGTCTGTTGTGAAGAGAGGAAGGGAAGAAGATTGTAAGCCGCTCTGAGACTCCAAAGTGAAGGGTGAGGTATAAATCCAACTTCCTC